CTCTGAGGGACAGGGTTCGCAGCTTGGGTGTGCTCCTCGACCCAGAGCTGTCATTGGAAGCTCAGGTGATGGCGGTGGCGAGGAGCGCTTTCCTTCAGCTTCGGCTAATCCATCAGCTGCGTCCCTACCTGGAGAATGATTGCATGGCAACAGTGACACATGCACTGGTAACTTTCCGATTAGACTTCTGTAATGTGCTCTACGTGGGGCTGCCCTTGAAGACAGTTCGGATACTTCAATTGGTGCAAAACAGAGCTGCCAGGTTGCTGACGGGGACTGGACGTTATTCTCATATAACCCATCAGCTTCACTGGCTTCCCATTGAAGTCTGGGCCCAATTCAAGGTGTTGGTTATCACCTATAAAGTCCTCAATGGCTTGGGACCAGGTTATCTAAAGGAGTACTTGCATCCATATATGTCTTCCCACCCCGAGATCGGCGGCAGAGGCCCTTCACGGGAACCCTCTGTGAAGGATATTAGGAGGGTGAGTACCCGAAGGAGGGCCTTCTCTGCGGCGGTGCCTATGGAATGGGCTCCCCAGAGAGGTCCTCCTGGCACCGTCGTTATTTGTTTTTTGGCACCAAGCTAAGACCTTTTTATTTAAAAGTTATTTTAATTGTTAATTTATTATTTATTGGGTTTTATACTGTGCCTAAATGTCTCCAAAATTTTTAAGGTTAATTGTGTAAATGATTCTGTTTTGTAAGCTGCCCCGAGGCTTTTTGCGAATGGGGCAGCATAGAAATATTTTAAATAAATAAATAAATATAACTACCTAAGTTGATGACATGAGGACAAATACAATGAATATTAGACCACAAATTGCTCCATGCATTGACAGCTGTTGCCAAGGATAGGACATTTTGAAGGGCATTCATTCATATGGTGGCCACTAGTCAGAGGTGACTTGATGACACGTTACATTGCTCATTTCAGATAATTTAAGTTTCAGATCATAAACAAAATCATATTTGCTTTCTGCAAAATTCATATAGAACCTGTTCTACCATTTAAGAAAAGCAAGCAGCATTAGAATGACTACAGCATATTCTTTTTTTCTATCAGTTTGTTGCCTTTACTTAAGTTGTCCAGATCTTTCATACAATGAGAGTAAAGTCTTTTTATATAAATAAAAATAAGGTATAGCAATAGTATAACTGTTACTGAGGAACATGAAATATATTACATATTCAATAGTTGGGAACCCACTGTCTGCAAAACTGAGAGGAAAAGCAAAAGGCAACTTCAGAAGTAATAGATCATTCCCTAAATGACAAACATAAAATCAGATCTGCTATCATTATATAGATTAACTATACATCTTTACGTCTTCTCTTTTAATGTTGACATAAACCTTTTAGTCACATTTGAGGTTCCCAGCTTTATCTTTTAAAACTGTTGTCTGGTAACAAGCTGAAGTTTTGACAAAACTGGTCAAATACACCACCCAACATAATTAATCTTACCACTTCTATTGCAATGGCAGGAAACCAATTAAAAAGTGGTCATATTTGTCAGTTATGAGTTAGAGATTTATTTTAATCCTTCATGATTGTATCAGGGTTCAGAGCTTTGGCTATTATGCAGTATAAATGTAAATAAATAAATCTACTTCAATGAAAACTAAAATCCTATGGATCCAAATGAATAGACTGGGAGTATCTGAGACTGTAATACTTCTGAAGAAATACATAAATAAATCTGGTTGTTCTCTTGGACAGGAAACACTTATATACTCATTATCATCATCATCATCATCTGTATGTAAACCTCACATATAAAAGTGAAGGAGGTTGGAATGGAAGAAGTCTTTAAATTTCATTCATTATGAAAAATGTGCCTGACATTTCTGATTAGCAAAAATTCCACAAAGAAACCATTAAGGTGCATTTTGGACCAAGTTTCTTTTTAAAGTATTATACAGTGACAAGAGCTATTCTTAAACCAATCAGCTTTGGAAAAAAGATATTTTCTTCCAGAACTTTAAAAGGAGGTCAATATCTTGGAAGCAGTTTGTATTTTTGATATTTAGGAGTGCCATAATACGGACATTATTCCATTAAATCAGGTAATTTCACTAGAAAAATCTGTCATCGGATGTTTTACATTAGAACCAGAAATTATTATGTATGCTGTCACACCAGATGGAAATTTATGTGCTGATGGGCAGCATCCCACGCATCAGCATGAGGCCTCCCTTACTACATATAGTTCTTAAAACAACCTCAGAAACAAGCTGTTCTTTTCTGGAATGGGGCACATTAGTGGTACTTGCAGGAGGGAGTTCCACAAAACTCGCCTGTTCTGGAAAACAGTGTGGCTAGTTTTGAAAATTAATTTAGGAAATGCTCACAGTCAGTCCTGCTGACCCAATAGCACCAGTACAGGGGAACGGCAATATTGGATTCTACCACCTAGGCAACTTAATTGATTTGAAGGACTACAAAGTCTTCCAGATAAAGTGGGACTTCGCCCAACTAGCAGCAATCTCAATTGTGCTTGTCTTCAAGGCCTATCCTTCTAGTTTTTTAACCTGTAGTCTTCTGATGCCCAACACTAGCAGCTGTAGACGTATATTTCAGTCACATAGAAAGCTAACTTGATTTTCTATTGGGTATGCAACTGAATATTTCATTCCTGCCCACTTTATGTAAAATATTTTGAAATACAATATTCTAGACTTAGATTAATCTAGACCAATAGATATAAGTAGAAAAATAAAATTAAACTGTAGCATAGAGTTGAATTCACAAAGCTATTTTGTACTTTTAAAATAGTCTAAACAAATTTACTAATGTGCTTCAGGACTAATCTTGTGCCATTATCCTAAAGTTAAAATAAATTTGATTAAGACAGGGCATTTCATAATACAATGGACTTATTCTGAACATATTACCCTCTACAAAAGTACTCACATGCAGTAGAAGAGGAGATCTAGAAGTTACTTAAAATAGTCCATTTTTGGTATTGTTAATACAGTCCTGCTCCATCACTGATCCAGCAGACCAGGGCATAGCAACATGGTGAGTATGCCTCAGACACCTTTCCTGGTACTTACTAAAGTGCTGTATCCCTCTCAACTATATTATCACATTTTCTTATTGTGAGCTAGAACTGCTGTGAAATAGGTTTCTGTTGGTACTGAAAACTGTGGGTTCAAAGGCATTCTTTAGTGTGTCGGGACTCAGACCCCACCTCTGCCATAAACTTAGCCTTTCTCACAGGTTGCATGTCCTTTGCCACACCTCCCATGGCAGCATTTTGTGGCGGTGCCCAGGACAATTTCTCAAATTGCTGAATGTGCCCATGGCCCAAACAATGCTGCCTAACCTTCTGACAGACTAAAGGCATTTTTCAAAATTCATTTTTCAATTGAATATTTTACCCACATAATTGTGGAATGGTTAAAGATTGTAAAGGTCACAAAGTCCTTTAAGAATTAGAGCACATAAAACTGCTATACATGATCTATTGTAAACTCTCTGCAAAGAACAAACTAACTTCTTTCTCTGTTATCTGATGGCATACTATGCTAATTTCCAACTTGTTTTAATTTTGAAAGGAAAACAGAACATTTTAAAAGAGCAAGGCTTTCTCAAGTAGCTACCCAATGAGTGTTTTTAAGATATTGGGAAAGTGGTCACCATCCTAAAATGTAAGATGCAATCAAGAATATGCTAGTGATAAATCTCTTAGATTATGCTGAAACTGCATCTCATTCGGTGAGATCTGTTTACTGTATATCTTACAAGCGAATCAGGAACTTAAATGAGAACAGCTATGGCTGAAATCCAAGAAATTGCTTACAACTTGCAAAATGAAAATTCACCCTCAGGGCTGGTTCAAGCATATGCACATGCTACTTGAGTACTAAATACTGGATGGATGTGAATTGATTACATTGAAATGTATTGTGTTTGAGGTGTTTTGTGCTGCTTAATTAGTGCAATGGGTTTTTCACACCATCAGTTACCACTGAATACAGCAGTCATCATAATGGCTAATGTTAAATTAAGTAACCTAAAATTAATCAGAAGTTATACCATATGAAATTAAAAGAACTACCTTCAGTCCCCCACAAGGTCTAGTAATAATAAGGCTATAATCCTATACACACTTATTATTTATTTGATTTATATACCACCCCATTAGCCATATGGCTCTCTGGATGGCTTACAACACAATCAGTATGGCAATACAGTAAAATCTGCAATTACAATAAAAGCAATAACAATAAAATAAATAGATACAATAATTAATAAAAATAAACAAAGAAGAAAAAATTAGAAAGAAAATAAATTAAATTGAAATAAAATAAAATGGAGGGAGGGAGGGCGCAACATATTAAACTCACTAAGGCAACCATTACAGTAAAAGATAAACAAAAAAGTAAGCCCCATCAGGGAGGGCATGACAACATGCATCTTTGCAGAGGTATGTTAGTCAGCCTTCCATGACGTTTATGGATGAAACCTATTCAGTTTATTCAATTACTAGAAATAGTTGGATGTTTTATAGACTTCTATAAGACTATAAACTATCAAGATGGTGAAAGATTTAATTAACAACTTGGTAACATTTGTTAAATGCCGGAGCAGACAGGATATATTCAAGCGATAAACTTCAAAAGGAACTCTCAACTCAGAATTTATTTTTGGCTTTACCTACTTCTTTGATTCCATCCTCACTATGAGCCAAAAGTAATGAGTGAACTAGACTAGATCATCTTTGTCTGAATCTTTAAAAAGAATGCTTTTTGGGTTTTCATATTAAACATACTGGGTAGAACATTTTCCCCAAAATGTAATGTTCAAGCACCCATCAGAATTACATAGCAACACCACAAAATGTACAACAATTACTCTATCTGCTATCAGTTCCTTGTCAGTCTGTTTCTTGAGGTAGATTTAAAGCAGTATGGATAACATCCAAAACAAAGAATACATAGAATATTTTACAGTTTTGTTAATCTAAAATATATACTTTTAAATACAACAACCTTTTCCACAATGATGAGGTCTCCAACTTGAATGTCTGAACTTTTAACTTGCACTTTGCCTTTAAAGAAAGAAGAAATTCCGTCATCAGTTATCAAAAAATAACAGAAGTTCCTCAGATATTTATGTCACCGGGTGCTAAGAAGCAACTGGAACCTGGCAAACTTGCTTATTCCCAAACAATCCACAATGAAATAAACACTTGGTTTTGTCATTATGCAAACTGGGGCAGTATGTATGTATGTGTGCACACATGCATGCGCACACATGCTTAATTGCTACTTACATTCTACAATTAGGTTCTTTCCCTATCAATGCAGACATTTTTTAACACTGAGCACTGATTCAAACCTTGTAAAAGTTAGAGAATTATATTATATTACAGAATATCAATTAACTTTGTAGTTAATTCCATTTACTTATACTCCTGATGATAATGCAAAGCAACATGCGATTTACTGGGTTAGTGCACATGCAACACTAAGTCATCATCTGACATTGCTTGATTTATGCTTAGACTCTCAGCTCTTTCCTCCCATTGTAACATAGCAAATTTCACCTAGTAGCGTTTTAAACTGGAAAGATTGTACAGCGATTTTAAAACTGGTTTCTCAGAAAAACCTGAAAGATGTTGTTGAAAAGCTGTTTTTTTCTGGTTAATTTACATACTCATACTATTTGAAATAAACTAACCCCAAAGCAAAATGTGGAAAGAATAACCAGAGGAGCAATCCTATTGCCCTCAATACATGTAAACTTGGAGGCTTATGTGCAATCAATGCCCTGAACATGGTGAAGCAGTAGCATTCTCTGTTGCACATCACACCCTGTTTTTTATATCTAGATAACAATTTTCAGTCATCCAGAAAAAGTGCCTGGGAGGAGGAGGGAAAGGGCCTGGGGCATTAACAGGAGTTAGTATAAGTCCTTAGCCCCACCCTTCTCCCCTTTGGCAACCTTTAGAGAGGCATCTAGCAGGGTATTTTCTGTACCAGAGGGAGATACTCAATCTTTGGAGTCTTAACTCTGAGATCACAGGAACTTGGAGCTGGAACTCCAAATAACCCTATGGCTCCCCAGTCAATGTCAGGAGCCCACAGAATTGCATACTAGCTCAGTGAGTAAAAACTCACCACTGTGATCCTTGGTTCTCATGTAACTCAATCCTATTCACATCTCTTCAGAAGCAAGACCTACTGACTTCAGTAAGCTACCCTTAGGAAAACTGTACCCTTAGAAGGCACAAATCTTCTCAAGAAGAACTTGTATTTTGAAATAAATCCCCTATAAGAGGCATTTCTCCTGTGGTCAGTGCAAGTTCTGTTGATCCTAATAAAACATATGCTTATTCTGTGATAATTAAACTACTTCTGATACTTCAGATTTTAAGCAACACTATCTTGAGTGTCCTTAGAGGTGTGGTTTAGACTTTTTAAAAATATGGTATTTCAATAAGTGATTTCATTGTTAAAATATGAAATGGGATAAACAATCTTTAATATCATTTAATGTTTTCTGAGAAATCAGTTTATTAAAAATGCTCTACTATCTTTCCAGTTTTAAGTATTACCAGAAGGGTTTTATTATAAGTGAAGTCCGTCTGATATTGATTCAACTTGTCCCAACATCCTACCTAGCACTTCAATCTAAAACCTTTTCTCCCCATCATCTCATCAACATGTTGATTTTCTGAAGCTCTGACCATCTGGATGGCCATGGTCACCCAACGCCTTCGGTGACATTTCCAACTACCTTACTTTAGAGGTGTTGACCAATAACCTCAATTTGACTTCTAAAGTGCTAGTAATACCCAAAGCATACTTTAGCTAGTGTATACCCCCTAGTATCCCCTAAACATCTTTTATGATCACACCCATTACTCCAAGAAGACAAACTATCCTATAGTTAATGCTTGTATCACAAGCCTAACCGTTCTATCACTAAACAGCTCACTAGAGGAACTCATCCCCACTCCTAGTTCAGTGCAGAATGATAGCAAGTAATTATTCCTGATTGTTTAAGATGATGCCCTCTTGCCCTGACATTCTGCAACAGTCCAGGAGCTGTCATGATGGAAATGTGACTTTTACAGTAAAGCTGCGTAAATTACCTAAGTACAGCAACTTGTTTGCAAATATAAAGTGCCCAGGGGATTTATGTATATTAAACCAGGACCAATTGTTTCCAATATAAACATACAAATGCAGCAAAGCCTAATCCTATGTCCACTTGCTTGCAGGAGGGTGGGAGAAAATGCCTCAGCAATAACAACTTTAATTTAAAACCTTAAGGTATCTATAAACAAGTTTCCTTTGTCTATTAGAAGCAAGTGTCACTAGATAACATTTCAGAAAACACACAAAGTATATAATATCACAACTTTGAAAAGACAATTTGAGAAAAAACATTAAATGCTATTCACTGCATAAATTATTTTTGCAAACTATTTTTTCCTTCTAAACACATTTCACTAGCTAAAAACACTCTTCACCATCTGTGTAATTGCCAATAAAAAAGTCCAAAGCTGTCAGAAGTGGCTGCTTTATAGTCCACCAAGGCGCAAGCCTTTGCCTAAAGCCGTATATGGAACTAGAACACAATTAAGTGTCTATCATAATTCATTACACTTGAATGGCTGAAGACTGCAGCAATTTTAAGATAAATAAATAAAATCCATGTATATGAATACTTCACAATAGATCTCTACAAATAAGGAAAGGCAAATTAAGTAAATGCTGTATTAGAATAATTTTCTCTCTTTTTGCCCTTTCTTTTCAAGATAGTGTCTGCTTCATTTAATGGATGTAATATAAATACTCAGAATGAATAAAAATTTACATGTTTAACATGTAAAATTCACACTGCTTGTATTTTAATTTAGCACATGCATCCTGAATTTCTTAAGTCACAACAAAGTTGCCAAGGTAGCTAATATAACAAATAAAACATAAAATATAACACTGTTATATAACATCTTAATGCAAAGCTGTGCTATTTGGGGTCATACAGTTGGCAGAGCAGTTTATATCTCTGAACAACAGGAATATTAGGATAGAACACAGGGAAAGCAGATGCTGCAGCTGTTGAGAAACTGATCAGGTATTAAAAAGAAAAATAAACCATGTGTTACTTTCAGCTAAGAAAAGTCATAAATCATGACAACTGTTAAGTTTTATATTCATAAAAGAGTACTGTCATGGAGGCATATCAATATGCTTTTGTAGAGAAGTTGTACAGAACTGAAATAGGCTAATATTACTAACAAGAAATGAGAGAACCCTGATATTTCACATTAAAAAACGAACTCAAAGAGCATGTTTCCCCGTATGAACTTCACTGCACTGATATCAAGCTGAGAAGCTGCTTCAAGACTGTGTTCCCCGTCTGTCTGAGCACTGACTGACAGAAACAAATCTCATTCTTTCTGCTTGCATGCCATATCCTTTTTAAATTGCAAGCCAGCCTTGTCTTGTTTACTGATTGAGCCTTTTTTGGCTCAAGAGCAAAATAAAATCATTTTAAAGAAAAAAAATAAAATTCAAATAGAATGAAAAATACATGCAAGGTTCCCGTAATTCTATGATTTAATTTTTATACTACTCCATAGCCAAGGTTCCCTTTAATGAAAGTTAAAAAGGCACACACACACACAAATTAAAAGAACAAAACCATAACAGAAATAGCTATTATTCAGCACAGAAGCATAGCAGTGGTATAAAATAAAATAGATAGGTTAAAAAGTTAGGCTGTTAAAATAAAAAGGTCTTCACCTGGTGCAGAAAAGAATACAAACTACACATCTGGAGCATCTCTTTGAAGAGCTCTTTCCAAAACTGATGCAACTGAAAAAGCCCTACTCCTGGTAGCCAGCTGCCTTACTTCATTTGGAAGAGGCTCCTGGAGAAGAACCCTGAAGATGACTTCAGTGTCCAGATAGGTCCTTATGGGAGGAGGCAATTCTTCAGATTACCTGGCCCCAAGCCATTTAGGGCTTTGAATATTAGTACTAGCCCTTTGAATCAAGCCCGAACTTCAACCAGTAGTCAGTGCAGCTGAAAGAGGCCTGGCATAATATGTTCTGATGAGCCAGTTCCCATTAACAGACTAACTACCCTGTTTTGGATCAGTAGATGTTTGCAGAGTTTTCCAAGGCAGCCCCAGGTACAGCACATTGCAGTGGTCCAAAAAAGAGATTCTCCAAGCATGGATAGCTATAGCTAGGCTCTCTCTGTTCAGGTAAAATCTTGTTTGGAATATCTGATAAGCTGATAAAAGGTGCCACTGAGTCCAGCTGTGCCTCAAGTGACAACTCTGGATCCAGAAACACCCCCAAACTCCAAAATTTGTCCTTTACAAAGGAGTACAACACCTCCAGAACAAAGTTCATTTTATTATGAGTTCTTCATCTGGAAGCTGCCCTATACTACTCCACTCCTCAACATGATCTAAGATTGGGAAAAACTATTGCAAGCTGGAACTATTGATTCATTCAGCAATGCATTTGCTTAATTCAGAAGCACAACTTTTAGGTAAAGGTTTGATCAGAAGTACTGTGGAGTGGGGAGAAAAACTCAGCAAGCATCTGGGGGAAGGAATAGAGAAGAAAAGCTCATGCTTTGAATATGATATAAAAGATTATTTAACTTGAAGACATAACATTACCTCTTCATAATTAAGGCACCATGTTTATTTGTTGTGTTTCACTAAATATTTAGATTTGCTCTATGAAAACTGCCATTTCTGGACAATGTTTTTAAACACACCAACCCTTTCATTCTTTTCTACCTGTTTGCAGCCAATGTTCTTCATTCATATTCTACCTTAGCTAGACTGGAATGACAAATTGTAGGCTCAGTTGTTTTGGGAAGAGAGATACGTTTTCTCATCTCACTGTACTCTTTCACAAAAGAAAGGGGAAGGTTGAGGCTGCATAGGAAGCATACACTCTTTCACTGGAGTTGTAGGCTTCTCCATAGGTAATAGACTATACGAATATGTTATGGAATTATTCCATGATATTCAAAGGTATTATTAGCTGTCTTTAATGGAGCTGCAAATACAAAATTTTAAAAGGCTACCATTATCAATACTTGCATGAAACAAATCTAGACCTGTCAACTGTAGTTAATAAAAGTATTTTGTCTTTCTAGGCACTGTAGTACAGTGGTTAAGAGCATGGGACAGAGACTTGGGAGATCTGGGTTCTAGCCCCTGCTAGTCCACCTACCTCACAGGATTGTTGCTGTGGGGATAAGACTGAGAGCAGGAGGAAGGATATGCTTTTATTAAAAAATAAAAAATAAAAAGGTAGGATAAAATTTAATAAAGACAGACAGTTATCTCACAGATGTCTATGAAAGATTTGCATGATTTGCATGAGTTGTTTGTTCATGTCAACATACTTTATCAACTGTATCTCCTTTTACTGTCAATCCTGTACCCCACTATTGATGTCTTAAACAGACAGAGAAAAAAAGAGCTTTAACTGTGCCATATACTGGTGGCCTGTTTATTTAGCAGGTCAAAAGCAGCCAGGTTTGGTACAGGTTTCCCTATACGTGCATAAATTTTCGGAAGAATACTGTATGTTCCTTGTGACACAGCCATGTCTGACATTAATATAAGGGCAGGACTGTTCTGCCCCAAAAGTGAGCTCAAGTTTGTGAGAAGTACTGCAAACTGTTCCACTCTCAATAAGATCTTAGGGATGATGGATGACAGAGTAATGGAAAACTATAGGCAGATGCTCCGTCTTACTGTTCTGCAGCCCAGTTGCTCCAGTATTCCTTGCCTACCCAGGCTATTTTAGAGTCAGTGCAATGCTGTGTTTTATAGATATGAAGCCAAATCTGTCTGTATGTCACAGAGACTATCATGAACAATATCCAAAAGGACATTGTTGAAATTATTTATTCTGCTTTAGTTTAGTTGCTCCTGGAAACACTAAATATTGAGAAAGTGGCAGGTCTTGCTTGCAGAATGAAATCAGCAGTAGCCCAAAAGAACTGGCAAGGATGCAGTACACTGATGGATAATGGCCCATATTTAATAAAACATCCGAATTCAAAGTAATGTAGACAACCTATTTATCTTCTTGCTCAACCAGGGCAGATTTTTAGGACTAATTTTTTTATTTGTTTTCAAGATACTTAATTTTTCACACATAATTTCAAAAGATTTACATTTGAAATATCAAATTGTAAATTTTCCTGGGTTAAGTTCCTGAACATTTTTAAAGGGCAGATTTGAAAAAGTGACTTTCTGCAACTTCAGCATTTATTCAGATGTTGCTTCATTTCATATTTTAATGTCAAACAACCTCATATTCTGGCAGTAATATTTTTTAAAGACTTCATGTAGCAGTAATTTGGGAATGTACAGTTTACTATTCAATATACTATCAGAATTTACTTTACTCTCTTTCTTATACCTTATTTGACAGTGGTTAATTTTTTTAAAAAGACAGTGGTAGCTTAAAAAAAAGACTTCCTGTCTGGGACTGCAAATCCCAGAAATGTCAAACATTAAGCAGGCTACTAAATATGGTGAATGGGCTATGTTTGGCTTGGTGGATCACAACTTCTATAGGTCTGCTTTCAACAGTTTGTAATCAGTACAGACTAGAGTATATGAATGCTATATAAGACTCATAAGAAGAAATATTCCCAACCTCGTATTGTAAGCTTGCTATATAACTGAGAATTCATTTCCTTGTCTCGCTGGTAACGACGAAATTCATCAACTGCTTCCCGCAGCACTGTGACAGCCAAAACAAATCCCTGTTTAAAATATAACAAACATTTCCTAAAATGGAAAATATTTATATTAAAATACACAGAGAATTTAACAATAGATTTAAATTCAGGATTTTTTTTTTTTTTGTAATTCCCCAAAATCTAGTTATTCTAGAACACTTGACGGAGACATGGGCAATAATAATTCCTGAAAGAAAAATTCCAAAAGAATATTTGATAAAACTATTTCACAGGATCTCTTCCTTTAAAAAAATGCACCTTCCAAGCAAAGTAATTCCTAGATGAATTCATATGCAGTGCCTTGCAGAAGTATTCACCACCCCCTTTGAATTAAATAAACACAAACTGGCACAAACTGGTTGCGTAAGCATTCATCCTCTTTGCTGCTATATTTCTGCAACATATCTCATGTTCTGGTGCAATTTGCTGCTGCCGTTCTGCTGGGTGGTTTGTACAAAACTTTAAGCCCAAGGTGGCTCTATTGTCACCTGAGTTTAAAGCTGCTGCAAGCAGGGGAGCTCTGTCCAATTAATGATAGAACACAGCAGGAGTCCTCAAGCACCACATCCATCGCATTCTTCCCTCCTCAGTCTTCCCCAGGAAACAGAGCACTGAGGGAAACAAGATAACAGTCCATCAGTCCCCACTGCTCAGTTGTGGCACATCACAGTTGAACAGCAGGGAGGATGTCGTATGTACTGACATGGAGAATTCCCACTGAGACAAAACTCCCACTGAAGAGGCAGTCTGAAGTGCCCCCTCACATAGCAAAAACTTCCTTAGTTGTGTTGAGAAAATGACCTGCCGTGTTGCAGACCCCAGCAGTCCCCCCCACCCCACATATCCACATTCCTGCCAATGCTGGAAAGGCAGGAGCATGAAGGAGGGTGATGACTTTACTTTTTGCTACTTTGGCTGACGTTTTTGCTTCACCGTGGCTTAGCATGAGGCTCATGCTAGGATTTTCAAAGCCCTAGAACAAGCCATGGGTACTTGAGGTACTTTAGTGTGCTGTACGAACCTAGTCATTGTAGATGGTTGAATGATTCCACCTGCGTGCAGTTCCAGTGCCACATTATTTCAGATTAAATACACCTGTTTCTGGAAGACCATAGAATATGTTGGACAGCCTATCTAAACAATCAGCATCTTGAAGGCCAAGAAGCTCTCAAAACAACTCCTGCTTGCACAGGAGTCCCTGTCATGGTATGGTTATTTGAAGAAGAAGAAGAAGAAGAAGAAGAAGAAGAAGAAGAAGAAGAAGAAGAAGCAGCAGCAGCAGCAGCAGCAGCAGCAGCAGCAGCAGCAGCAGCAGCAGCATGAACATCTTGCACAGAACTATTAAATTCATTATTACAAATTGAAAAGAATATAGCTTAACCATGACTGTGCCTTGAAAGGGCCAATCATCCAAACTTAGCTACCAGGGAATTGTAATTCTGAATAAGATGGAAAGATCTGCAGCTGAGATGGGGAAAACCATTCATGGGACGAACATCTCTCACAAGCACCACAAAAATTGGAACAGTGACAAGAAGAAAACCATTGTTGAAACAAACCTATATCAAAGTCCATTTGGAGTTTGCAAAAAGCATGTAAGAGTAAACATGTGGAAAAGGGTTCTCTGGTCTGGTGAGCCCAAAATGAAACTTCTGGGCCTTGCTGCAAAGTGTTCTCTACAGTACAAAGCCAAGAGTGCTCATTGACATAAGAACACCTTCATGATGAAGTACGATGAGGGCAGCACCATGTTGTGGGGATTTTTTTCGTTCATGGGGACTGGGAAACTGGTCAAGACAGAGGACAGGATGGATAAAGCAAATACAGGGTAATTCTAGAGGAAAACCTGTTTTAATCTGCAGGGGACTTGGAACTAAGGTGATTGATCACCTTCCAGCAGGACAATGACCCTAAACATACAGCAAATATTAGAATGGTTGAAAAACAAGAATCTGAACATATTGAAAAGCCCAGACCTCAATATGATTGAGAATCTGTACGAAGCCTTTAAACCTGCTATTCACTAACAGTTCTCATCCAACCTTACAGAAATGAAGTGGTTTTGCCAGGAAAAATGAGAAAACACTGCAGGATTCATATGTGCAAAGCTGATAGATGCTTACCCAAAAAGACTCACAGCTGTAATTGCTGCCAAAGCTGTTTCAACCAACCACTGAAAGTCCCATTTTGGGCTATTGGTTGTGGTTTTATAAATCATATAAATAAATAAATAGACTTGGGGGCATAAATGCTTATGCAACCAAAAAAGTGCCAGTTTGTTTCCATTTCCTTAAATTCTGTGCCATAATGAAAATATTATGCACCTTCACAGTATTATCTGGTATAGATCAAGCGGTAACAATGAGAATTAAATCCATTTTAATTTCAGGTTGCAACAAAAAAATGTGGAAAACTCAAAGGTGGGAGGTGGTAAATACTTCTGTAAGGGTATTTCTAAACTATCTTTTCTTATTGGGCTTCAGATAGATCATTCAACTTTGTAAAAGATGTTCCCATACGCCTTCACATGGAAGGAAGTTGCATGAAATCAATGGCACTTACTGCCAATAAATATGCTGCAACATCTGTTTGTTCAGTTTCATATTTTAGATGAGGGATAGCCAACTGGTAGCAAATGTGCCAGATGTTGTCCTTGAAGTAATTCGATCTGGATCTTAGTGATCCAACTGAATTTTAATCAAAGGGTGATATAAAAATTTGCCCAGTTTCCCTTTTAAAGTACAGAAAAAAGCATACCTTGTTTTTCAGTATGAGATTAAATATGTAAGCTCCTAGAAATGCACAAGCAGTGTATTCCATATTTGGAACTATTTACTGATAGATGTTTCCATCTTTATAAAACTGACCATTTATGACTGTGAAAAAACCAGATTATACAGCAGAAGAATTACAGTCATTAAGGTAATCAGAAGGATAAATGACTCTTGGGAATATGGGACTGGCCCAATCACTCCCCTAAAATTGTTATTTCTGTTTCTCATCAAGTTATATGCTAGCTTCCTATTTTAAATCCATGCAAGGAGCTCTTTACTAGCCTTGTGCATCCACAAGACCGTCCCAACTTAGCAACAACTCCAATGCAGCACTGTAACCTGGCAACTTCTTGCCAGCTCTCTAAGTTGGATGCTCATTAGGCTGGCTTTAATATCTATAGTTGGTTGAAAATTGCTTCCATGTTATACATACAATATTAATGGACCAATGAAATGGCTTGGTTGCTTTGATGCTGCAATGTAGAGAACTCCAACAGATAATGTAGGACAAAAGAACCTTCATACTCTGCTGCTTCATGTAAAGAGCAGACATTTAAAAATAGCCATGATATTCAAATATGCAGCAAATTAAATTGAAAAAAATATTGGTAACAGATCTTCATTTTTAACTGGGAAACTGCACTGCTTTTTAACAGTACAAAGAACCTTATAGGTCTAAATCTACTTGCTATAAAGACATGAAGTATATTTCACAAAAAACTGGTTTTGTTTTAAATCTTTTGTGCATATGACCAGAGCACTATGTGTTTTGGATTATAACTCACAAGATCCCTAACCTTTGTATATGTTGGTTAGCAACTGAAGGGAGATATCAGCCAAAAAATCTGGAAGGCCACAAAATTCCCCACACTGATTTAACATTTAGCATTTCCCCCATTTAGCTTATGTCAGATGTAACATTATCTATTAACTGCAATTAAGGAATCAGGAGGTGCCCATGACATGCACTTGCTCCTCCCCCCACTCCTTCATTCTGAACATCACTTCCCCTCCCCTTCCTATACCAATTCCTAAATCTGCATTATTGAGTTTCACCTTTCCTGGGCTTAAAACTAAGATTTCAATCTTTGGTTCAAAACCAGCTATGGGCCCCATGTTCAACTCAATGCAGCCACATAAGAGTCATTATAAAAGGAAAGGAAAAGAGATGGTGAAAAGGGAAAGAAGGAGGGACGTTGAGAGAATAAGGAAGAAACATGGAAGTCTGTCAGATACTCCTGATCCTTTCCATTAAGAAACATATTTTCATCTCTCAAGTCTCTGAAGAGTGCACTTTAAAAAATGCTATAAAATCATTTATTTTACCAGAGGAGCCCAATAGGTGTAGAGGTAGCCTATTTTCAGCGCTGGTACAAACTGTGAGCAGGAGACAACGAGAAAATAAAGGTTCAAGAAAAACTTGAATTGTTCATATAAAACCTACAAGTAAAAGAAAAAAAGAAAAACCAGAAAACAGTGCTTTCGATAATATTTGTACTATACTGGAACATTTTTATGCAGCAGAAACATTAATCAAAATTATAATCTAAGAACTGTTCTAAATTTTTCAAATTGGATAAACAATGATTCTTGAACATTTTTTTCCAATCAAAAGGGCAGTATCCAGTATCACCTATACAAGAGTGCAATGACACACTAGCAGATCCTGAAAACACTCATTCATAGAATGTGGCAGGTCAACAAAGCTTGCAGAAAGAAATTCCACTGACCTGCCCTATTCCTTTAAGAAGTGCTAGAGATGGATCCCACTGGCATGACAAAAACAAATTAAGCAGTACAGGAGTATCAGATACCCCTCCAAAAATTTTTTTTAGCAACTTTAAGTTTTGCTCTATGGTTTCATCCACTGTCTAGGAAATGTCACCAACAACAACATTCATGTAGCAATTCAGTTTCTTCGTAAGACGTAACACTTCAGTTTCTCTGTATCTTAGCAATCCCTACAACAATATTAGCTCCTTATCACAACGGTAGCCTGGTTAATATCATTTAAGTTTGTGAAGAGCTGAGATTTGCCCAGATGTTTTTCCAGCATACAAGTCATGCTATTCAATAAACAATGTAACAGAAAGCACCCTAATATTGACTAACATTGTCTATCAATTAACAAAAGCAATAAATATAGGAAAGAAAGCACATTTTCTTTGAAAGAGAATGAGCTCAATTATAAGAGGGATTAGTATTCATATAGTAAAATACATAATGGTTCAATTGAATGTATTATACTATAAAAACAGCATTTGGCAAAATCACACTATTTTGCTATTATTCCTATCTATTCTCCTGCAGAAAAAAATGTTAATTCTGTAATTGATGTTTGCTTGTTTATTTATTTATATTATGAGAAAGGGTTACCCAAAGTCTGTTGGTAGGTGTGACAAAAGCATAATACAAGCCAGACATACCAACGTATTATAGAAATTTCAATACAAGGACATTCAAATTGGTTTAGCATTATTACTGATTTACAAACATATGTACAAATGGTAAGAGCTATGCTGGAGTAATACTGTGTTTATATTTACAATGAAACATGATTATTTTCTTCTAGAATGTTTAAATTCTCATATAAATTAATCTCAGCAGGGTAACAATATTTTCTCCCTCACCACTAATTAATTTAAAATCCCAGTTAGCATCAATTAATAGCTCAGTAATTGGTATTCATACTAAAGCTAGAATAGGATTCCAACTGTGCAATTACAAAACGCTTTCAAACTACTCCATTTCCTAAGGAAAAGTTTAAGAAAAAATATTCCAAGACTAATAATGCATCTGGACTATGCTATGCCAACAGGTGTTCTCAAATCATGATTGATCTTTGCAGGCATAAGGATTCTGCCTTAAACCTCTGAAAAACACATTGTGCATTTAACTATAGTAATCAATGCTAAATGTATACTTAGGAAAATCTCAGTGTAAATAAAGAAAATGCTGGTTTCATGCAATGAAGATGAAAATATTTGTCTGCATGAGAACAGCTGACAATAACAGCTTCAAAAGCAAACACTCCATACATTATGGCTTCCCTTTTTTGTCTTTTTAATTAAAGGGGGTTATGAGAAATATTCATTCAAGTGCCAGCTTGCTGAATAGTATTGGTGAGCAGGGGTAGTACAGAGTAGAGAGAAAACCACTGCATAACCATTACAAAATCTGCATTCTTACTGAAATTAAAATTTGAAAGCGGCAGCACTCTTGTCAACAAAAGAGCAACAAGACAATTGATTACTATGGTAAAAGGCACAGTATATAATGGCCTGTTTATTTCATACTCATTGAAACACCTCTCCCTCAAGAGTTACTTTCAGTCAAATATTAAATTAGAAAGTAACAAAGCTGGCTATCCAAAGAATCAATGCTAAAGTCATAATAGAATTTACTGAAATAAGTCAAGGAACAAACAATATTTAAAAAGCCAAACTGTGCCCTTTTGTGATGTGCACAAAATGTATTACAACAAATTATTATTGTTAGCAGTGAAAAGAATTCTGCATCTTGAAAACCGTAATAAGCCAAAAGAAAATCAGAAAAGACAGAGTATTATTTTAAACTGATTTAGTTAATAAGAGGTTTTGTTGTATGTCTGTAACACACATAATAGCAAACACCATATAAACATTTCTTACATAAAAACAATTACTACATTTATGTACTTTCTTGTAATCTGTACCACTAGCCATACTAGAGAATTAACTTTCTAACAGTTTATTCTGTATTTAAGTCAATGCTCCGTAAGGAACATTTCTACACAGAGATTTGAAGTGCCAAAAAAAAAAAAAAGGGAAATGTTAAAATAATAATGAAAAAAAATACAGGGATAGTTTCCACAGAATTCTATGTCACTCTGGAAGGGGTTTAAAACTGTAAAAACCGTAATATGAACTCCTATGAATAATCTCCATATATATATGAATTCTGAGTTCCTTAGGGTTATTTTGTAAGCTGCATTTATTCTCAAATACCAAATAACTTCCACATGTTACAGCATAGCTCAAATAGAAAAGGTAGCGTATGAAATAATCTTAGCATAAACTTCCCCACATTCCAAATTTTCTGCTTTACATAGACATTTTTCCACACTTCTGCTTCCACTACCTGGAGCTATGCATCTCCAGCAAGGCCAATATATTAAAATCATGGGTATACCGACTTAAGACTTGACATATAATTTATTTAGAGCTAAATTTACCTGCACATATTTGAGATACAAAAGTATTGATTAACATGGAAAAATCATCCAATTAAAATTAAAAGCATTGCTTTCAGCAGAAAATTTTTACTACATGTTTAATTGTCCTAGTAAGGTAGTGGGACCTAAAGCATAACTCTGGCCGGATCACAGAATACCGGAGCTAGAAGCAGCCAGAAGGTGATTAGGTCACCCCTGCTATTGCAGGTTACTGTTATACTCTCCCATTCAGATGACCGTCTAGACACTTTTTGAATGTCTCTAGTGAAGTAGAGCCCACAACTTCCCCAGGTAATAGGTTCCATTGTCATTCTGCTCTGACCATAAAGAAATTATTCCTGGTTTCTAGTCTAAATCTGGTTTGTTTTAAATTAAGTCTGTTATGTATTTCATTCTTTACAAGATTAGCCTAATTTCTTAATGAACTTTTTTTTTTGGTTGATATTGTGTCCCAAAATGCACAATAAAAGATTGTCACTGATTTTCAAGCATCTTGCTGATGAACTTACTCTTATCAGACAAGTACACCTAGAATAGTTACTACTGACTGATATAATCTACTAATTCTTCTGGAATTTTTTTTTTCAATTGGGAAACTGTGAACTGTGTATTTCAGAGGAGACCAACCCGCATCCCACTTAGCTTCCAATTTACACCTTCTTGGTCTAGCTACAAAGGACATTTCTCAATGGGAAACAGCTACAAAAAGGGAGTATCTGAAACTTCAAGAAAAGATCAAATGATTACATGATTATATTTCTTTTAAAATGCTGTAGGACATAAACTAAGCCCACCTTTAAGGAATCATTAGTAGCCTTACCCCAGGTATAAATGTAAAGATATTGTATTTTTGATTTTTTATAGCATTTCTTGGATATTTTTCTTCACATTTTTCAGGACATCCAAGCCATACTGTGCGTGCTTTGAGTTCTTTCTTTCTCCGGAAAATGTTTATGAGCCAATCACAGCAACTGCAAGGGAAATTAAAAAAGCCTTTCATTTTCTAACAACAAAATCTGTGTTGCACCTGAAAGACTAACACATTTATTTCATAAGCTTTCATGGACTTGAGTCCACTTCATGTAATGTATTACACTCACCTTGCTAAAATGCAATGAATGGTTCGATGCTATTAATAACTTTAATTAGAGACTGAACTGGCTAGGGTTTTTGTTAAGCATGTAGAAGGCTTGTTCACAAGGTTATATATCTCAATGGAGCAGTGCTAATTTCCTGCCGTGGTCAAGTCAACCAAAATGCAGTACCATCAATAAGAGGTTCCAGATTCACCAAAAAGCCTGGGAAAAGTATCTATCATTATTTTTCTTTGTTCACTGCACATCACAGAGGTTCAAAAGGGATCCCAAACTTGAAGAACAGGGTTTTTTTCCCCAGTGCAGAACATTAACTGCCAGAAGTAAAAGGTTAAATGACTCCTGTGTACATGCAGCTTTTGGAATCCTGACCATTAGCTCTTGGAGCCAGGAAGGGAAACTATTTTCAGTTCAGCTCTTCTCTCTTCTCCCTTTTTAAGACATGAAATAAATTCAAAAATACAAAATTTTGAATACAACATTCAAAACATGTTCACTCCATTCTGAACAGATGCTCCTGGACTATACTATTTCTTTTTTCCCTTAAAAGAGTCCTGTGTGTATACATTCATATTTTACAGTTAAAAACTATGACTATCATTAGATTAGAAAATCAATATGGTAATGATAAAATGTTCCATTTATACTTAAAATCACAATATACACACTATACATGCTTCTTCTTTATCCTGTGGTCAGATAATTGTGCATATCTACTTCACAACTCAAATCTTTATAAAGGGGTAACACTCCATTGGATACCTTATTATGTTGGACCCTATATATTAGACAGCTTTAAAGCTGTCTATACCAAAACAGGTGAGGTAAACTTACAAAAGCACATTACAAACAGACAATATAATAATGTTTAAATAACAAAAGCAACTACCAAATAATTAGGAAGATATTTGGCACAGCCTGACGTAATCATAAAACAGACTTAGCTAACAGTTTAAACCTCTGAATACATGAACACCCTTTTATTCAGTGTACTGAATAAATTCTTTTGTATGCATTTGCAATGAGAAAACTGTGCTAAGAGGAAGCCAAGGAGATTCTTCCACCATTCCTTAGGGCTCTTAAAATGGTACAAAAATCCTCCCTATTTATATTGCACCTTAGAATAGCTCATAAAGCAATGGAATACGTAACTGATTTCTGACCTTCCACAGGCTGAGCTATTTTAAAATTAATCTATAAAACTGTGATCAATTAAATTGGTTTGATTAATATTACAGTCAAGAAAGAAAGCTTCTAAAAACCATGGCAAGCTTGTTGTGCTGATGGAGGAGTGTATGTTATTCTGCTCTAGCAATGTTATGGAATCTAGTCAATATGCTTCTATGTATTTATTAGGGAATCAGCCTTTCAGCTCACTACTGGAAGAATTTCTTCCAGTTCAAATACACACTGCTGAACAAATGGTAAAGGCAAAAAAACTATTGGGAATGTATGTATTATGGCTAGCAATAGCACTATTAAAGTCCCTTGCACCATATACAGTATAATCCAGCATCTCTCAGCACCCATGGAGACAGATGATAAGCCAGGTGTATGTTAACTGAGCATCAGTTATCACAAAAGCTCCTAGAGTTGTGTCAAAAATATGGTATTCTCCACTTTGGACTAAAATTGTGCTATAGTACACTTCTGAGCTTAAAACAGTTCAATTCATTTTGCAAAGGTTCAGATGCCTTTCCCACCAATCAGAATGGAAAAATCAACACACCTGTAACTTTTCATTTTGCAGCAGAACCTGATAAATGGAATTAGCTGATCTAACAGTTTAGATTCAATATGAAAAGTTAAAACAAGATCAACTGTGTGTAAAAAATCTCCCAACATTTAATATGTGATGGATGGCTAACCTAAGGAGTGGACTGAGAGAGAGAGAGATCTGGACTAGAATAACGAAAACTCACACAGGCAAAAACGCAACTACTCTACAACCCCTTTAAACATAGCTGTTACTGTTTCTAATAGATGGCACACAACTTGCAAGCAGAGAACTAATGGAAACTTTCTGATTTTTTTTCTATATCCCTCCCAAAATCACCATGACTGGACAAGTGAAATTCTTTAACTGGAAGTGAGAACTGTCAATTTCAAAGCTACATGCCCCTCCCCCTGTCTCCCAAGCACTTTTTCTTTTTGAAGCGCTTGTGGGAGATTCAGCAATATATCAAATTTGGACAAAGTACACACTTCGGTGCTTCAAAGAGTGCCCAGTGCTTTGTGACCTGCCAGCCTAGGACCCAAGTTCTCTTGTTTTCAAAGTAGTCCAAATATCTGTAATGGGGCTAATCACCCCAGCATTGTACCACATCCAAGACAGTTGTACAGCCCTAATCGCTACCTTGAATATGATAGACAGAATATACATCTCAAACAAAAGCACCACAAAAGAACTTTAACTACGTGCTTGAAAAAGCTGCCCTAGAAATCATACTCTAATTATATAGAGAAGAACTCCCTATGGCTTTAATCCAGCAAATAAAGTTGTAATATGTCAACTTTGTAATGTGTCAACTTATAGTAAGCTTTGCCAAATCAATGTAGTTCTCAGTGATATAGTATCTACATATATTAAGGTACATACAAATATTACACCTTAGATAATTGTCTACTTTCAATTACAAAACATAGCAGTCTAAGTGAAAAATCTTATGGAAGCTGAATCTGCAACAAGTATTCTTCCCTTTTTAGGCAGGTGCCAAAACCTCATCAGCTTAGCAAATAAATTACAGATATCTGAAAAATGTTTGGCACTGCTAAACAGTTCTGATGCCTCTGATAAAGGACTGATTGGCACCTAGAGATAAGCACACTTTAAGCCCTCAGATGCTAGGAGGTCTCACTGATGGAAATAATTATAGATTTTAACAATTCAATTTGGGATTCAATACTTTTCAAGACTTGGGTAACTACAACAGAAATCCCTATCAGTTTGTATGGAGATAAGGTTGTGTCCCTTTTGCCATGATATGTTGTTGGCCTGTTTAATGGTGCATTAAGAAAGCCTTCTGTACAAGTCAAAACATGAGTTACATTTTAAAAAAAACACTACAAAGAACTAGGATTAAATAAGCATTTAAGAAATGCATATTAATAGAAGATGCTAGTGAGATCTATTGCTCAAAAACAAAGCCTCTAATTATGAGTGAATTTTTATGGGCTCAAACTTCTAGCTTGTTTAGTTAACATCGAAGTTATCCAAAATATAATTTCTTGTGACCCCAGACAGGATATAAAATGAGTCAAATGCCAATTTAGGTCAACTTGCCTAGACAGGACAGACAAGAACACAGTGTTTGTAGAAGGGAATCATTGGGCTAGAAAAGAACCGGCAGGGGCATAAGCAGCATTTCAGATTTTGTCCATAACGAAGTAAAGGAAGGAGGATTGTTTTCTGTTTTACAGGTTAGCTATTTCATCATTGTTTCATGCGTATATATGAGCACTGTGGTATAATTAAACAAACAGCCAAGTAAAACTATAACAGTGAGCTAGTTTTTATTTAAAACTTATTAATATACTGAGCAGTTTTCAGTACTGTTCATCTGCTCATCGGGGCTGTGCTTATGAGACTAACTACTCGTGCTTCCTAAAGCACCCACAAGTTAATAATAAATGTATGCCACCTGTTAAAGAATAGATGCCACAATATTAAAGAAATTTAGTTTTGAAGTTGTATTTAATATTTTTCAGATATTATGTCTACCACAAACTGAAATGGAACTACTAGATAGGGACAAAAAAACTGAAGGGTGACCCAGTAAGTGTAGCAGAAGACAGCTAAACTCAGTTGAAAAAGAAGAGAGGTTCTCAACATACCATGCATGGTTCTTTGGGTGCTAAAATTAGTAGTGCCTTGCCCAACCTGATAAACTACAATTCCCACTGTCACTGGCCCGCACATGCTAACTAGGAATATAAGCACTGTAGTTTAATATGCTTAGAGGGACCATACTGGGGAAAGCTTGAATTTATTTTTTAAACCTTAGTTTTCTTTTTTATTATTATTTAAACAACTGTAAGGAAAGTACATGTTATTGTCTTCCATTTTTACAAGTTTTCCACTAAAATTGCTACATAATATAAAGTAAAAATCATATTTAGCAGGTGTTTGCTTTGCTTTTTTGGCAGCTGTTTTATGTCCAATTATTAATGGTAGGGACACCCCCCCCCCAAAAAAAGAAAAGAAAAGAAGGTAAGATGGGACTCTTATCTGGCTTTGTTGTATAGTAAATACAAATGAACATAAAGAATTAGATCGTTCCGGAAAAGCTTTTCAAAACCTGGTACTCTCCAGGTGTGTTGAACTATAGGTTCCTACATCCTGGTAGTTGCAGTGCAACATATTTGGAAAGCATCAGGTTACAGAAGAATGCTCTCAGAGGATGCATCTGAAGAATGCATCAGAAAATGTTCTCATGAAACCATCCCATGAAAAATTGTTTAATTCGTCTAAGATTTTTTTCTGCAAAATGTTTCCATTCCAAATTTTCCAGCAAACCTAACTACTCAAACCCCAGAAACAAGCTAAAATATTAACTGCTTGCTGTAGAATTGGAAATTTTTGTGTGTAGGATTGCTTTAGGAACTGTTCACTTTCCATTATGTTAGCAGTGGGTTCCACCAGAACATGGGGAACATTGGATATTGGCCATAGTGACAATCAAAAAAGAATTTTCTAGTGATAGTTATGTAGTTTTAAAATACTGTGAAATAAATCTTGTGTGTGTTCTTACTATTTTACATATGAAATGCCTTCTGCCAAGTGAAATCAGTGCTTTCAAAACATGCATGCACATGGGTGGGTAGGTTCCTATTGGTTATAAAGCTTAACTATAAGGAAACAGTTAAGGATTTTAATTTAAAAGCAGGTAATATAAAAGCTCTATATTGGCTCCAAGGATAAGCTATTCCTTATTAAATTCTAAAGAAAACATACTGTAATTATTATACTCAACAGGTAGCTTTGATGTTCAGCCTAAAGCAACACAATAATCATGTCATTCTTAAAAGTTCAGCATTTTCCCATGCTTCTGCACAACAAATGTGTTACAGATTAATTGAAAGTGTACTGGCCAAATTAATCCAAGTATTTGGTATCTGCTTCATTTCATATGGAAATGCAGTTCAACACTACCATTTCATTAGGATAAAGTGTTGTTGTTTCATATAAGAATTGGAATGTAAGTCTCAAAGATTTTCACAGTGTTGAGCTATAATTTCACTATTTTAAAGTAACATCTAAATTAAAAAAAGAAGTAATTGCAGCTCAACTGTAGTTGCCATTTTCACCAGCTTTAACAGTTATGAACCTATACAATAAAAGAATGCATTTCTCTAAAAATAATTCCATTACAGATCAGTGAAATTAACAGGCATTTTTGCCAATTCTGAAGAAGGCAGTTTTGACATAAAAAATAGCATTATTAGAACATTTAGTAACATATCTTTTGCAGCTTAAATAACCATAGCAGATAGGTTTTTTGTTAATACATTAACAATGTGCAGATATATTCAGACTGAATGTTAGATACTTTTATTTTAGACTCATGCTATTGACATTTTCAAAATGCAAATTGTTCCATAATTTAAAACTATAGAGGAAATATGAAATATGGCAAAAATAAGATTTTCGCGTGCTCTCCTTTGAATTTGCTGCATTTTACTGCCTCTTAAAATTTATGCTTGTATGTCTATATATTTTGGTACATGAAACATGAAAATCATGTTGGATAAATCCATTTGAAGGAATGCAAGACTCACAAAAAAGGATACTGTCAAAAACTAGTTATACAGAGGACAAGGCTAGTATTAACTCATCCTGCTTTACAAGGCTTCCCACCTTGATTCTTCCCAACACTGGTACTGAATATGAGGATACCTCTTTGAATGTTTGTACAACCACTTATTGTACAGAGTAGAGTGTATACACAGTGCATATTCTGCACAAGATTTTTATTTTAACTAATTTTCAGTTAACTCCATTGTCTGGGTTCCGGCTCAATCACCCCCATCCACAACATAAAAAGCTACTTCCAAATGATCCCTGGCCATTTTTTGTGGATAGAAAGGGATACTTGCACTGAAAGTAACACAATGTGCTTCTGCTGGCCTTGTCGGAGTTTCATTAAGATCCTATGCATTCAATAGACCACCCAGGTTGTTACTATCACACCATTTAAAACTGCTAGCATAGAAGACTAGGATACATAATACAGTGGAACCTTGGCTCACCAACTTAATCCGTTCCACGAATCTGGTTGCGACCCAAATTGGTTGTGAGCCAAGTCAAATTTCCTCATAAGGTTCAATGTATATAAGGTTAATCCGTTCTGAAGCACAGTGACAAAGAACATCAAAGATCGCAGCCATCTCCCCCCACCCCCAGCATGACCACGGCCATCTCGCCCCCCCTCCCCAGCGCAATCATCACCTGATATGGAGTTTGCAACCTAAGGCAAAATTTCTCTGAAATTTCTGTTCGTGACCCGATTTGGTTGTGAACTGAGGCATTCATGAGCTGAGGGACCACTGTACACATGGAAACTAAATAGATCACTTGCCTTTTTTATTTAACAGTTCTATATAGTTTTTTGAAAAGTAAATGGTAACACATTATACAAAAATACTTCAAAACTAAGGTGAGGTAGGACAACAAAATTATTGCATCTCTGTATACAAAATGGCACATGCATACAGTGCTCTGCAGAGAAAAGCAGCTTAAAAGAGTGCATTTTATATAAGTTTAAAATAAGGAAGCTCTCCATGGTACAAGACAAATTTACTCAAGAGACTCAAGTCAAGCATGAGAGTTCAACACAAGAGGTTTATAAATGACAGCAGAGTACCAGGAGATAATTCTAACTTGTATTCACTCCAGAGTCATCAGTTACATGTACTTTTTAACCTTTAAAACTGAAATGTTAACTTATCATCAGTTAATGAATTTACGTTTCCCCTTTCACCAACATCAATCAACTACAGATATTACCCACTGTTAGTGAATTAGTGTTAAGGCTCTCGGGAACATCATGAAAGGGTACAGCCATCTCTCTTACCAGGTCATAAAAATAAGTTAGGCATGAGACTAACTTATTGGTGGTTTTTCTACCCCATTCTAATCCATAAACTAATAAAAAATAAAGGAAGGGAGCTATTTTGGAAGACTGTATTAAGAACATCAGTAGCAAAATCTATTTATCTAGCCTAAAGCAGGTACATAAAACATTACTAATACTGATAAAACAATCAAGATACCCACTAAAGGAAATCTTAATCTCAAGCAACATCAAAGATGAACCTTAATTTTATCATGAATGCAGTTTCTAAATTGTAAACCAATTTATATACATTCTAAACTTTACTAAATATCTGGTACTGAGCTAAAACATATATGATTATTCAAAAGGTTTTATGAACTTATATCCACTATATAACATATACAGGCCTGGAAAATATTGTAGTCACAAGACTGCTATTAACTAATCTCTCATTCGATAGCTTTTCCAGGTCCAAGGACACAGATAATGACTGCAGCATGTATAACTCTATAACATGTTATATACAGAGAAATGCTGTGAAGCACCTGCAGAAGTTGGTCCTCACACACTCAAGATATATTTAAGTATCAGAATACACTTAGTTTGATTCCCAAGAAAATGACTCAAGCATATGACTCCTGACTTAACAATAAACAAAATAGAATTTTATTTGTATAATAAGCATATTAGTTTCAAGATGTTCAACAAAATATTTACTTAAGGGATAAAACAATACATAACAATAACTTCTGACTGAGGTAGCTCACTCTTTCCCTTCACATACATACCTCAATCATAGATCCTTCTTTCTCTCCTGAATGTACTTTGATCCATCCTTATTTGGTTATCTCACTTAAATCTTTCCCTTCTGCACTCAGGTTTCTGTCAGTTTATCACCTACACACCCTTATAATACTTGACAATATTAGTTTTTGATTATCACTAGTCGTTAATATGTCCTCTAAGTATGCTACTTCCTTCCTTTCCCTTTTGAATCTTAAATGCTTTTCAGAGCACTGTATCAGCTTCTAATGAGAAGGCTGCCTCTACAGACAGATTCTGCAGACCACTGACTGACCACAACTCTGATAGTATCTATTTCTTCATACACTTCCAAGCTCTACCCATACACTCTCAGTCACCAATCACCTCATCCCTCTTTTACCCCTGCCTGCCCTTCTGAAACTTACCAACATTTCAAGAAACATATTGGTAACGTTTTAAATCATTGCACTAATCCTAATCCTATGCTCTGCAAACAGAGCATAGGCAAAGATCTGTTAAAATGTTCTGTTAAAACTGATATAGATATCATGCTGAACCATTGCAACTTGCAAGAAAGGAAGGAGAAACTTTTATACAGGAGTTGTGTGGAAGAGGATAGGGAACCTACAATATGATCCCAATCTCTTAATCGTGGTTAAGAATACAAAAAACTTAAGTCTGCACCAACTCTAAGACAGCGGAGAACATTAACTTGGACAGAATGATGCTATGTTCTTGGCACACCATTTCTAAAAACAAATTATTTTTCCTTTCAATGAATACTTCAGGGATGAAGTGAAAACTCAAAGAAGTCACAGGAAGCAGCAATAAGGGAATGATAAATAAAAGAAGGACCTCCTCCCCCATTTTTACTGCTCTTCTTCTGATAAAGAACCAGTTAGTCATAAACCCCAAATCTGTGGGGGCCTTTGATGGTGTGCCTTCTCTGTCATTGGGCCCTGGCAGGCTTACATGCCTGTTGGAGAAGCACTTCAAACAGAACTGAGCAGCTGGCTCTAGAGTCAACCAGTCAGTCAGCTGGCTCAGAGTGCCAGTAAAGTAAGAGGCACTGTGGAAACATAAAGGTGGCTATTTCCAGCTATCTTGCATCCTTTGGAATGCTGGAGTACTTAAAGAAATAATTTAAACAGGGGAAGGACAAGCATTTGCAAGGGGCTCTCCAGGTTGTGAAGTCCTCATCAAGGTGCCCAAGATACTGATGCTGGCTCTATAATTAAAGGAGGAATGAAGAAAGTAATTTTCACCCATTTCAGTTCATTTCTTCACTTATGGATTTCAAAAAGTCTACACTTATCTAGTTTGCATGATCAAAACAAGACAGTATTGAAGCCATGGTAGCATGTTCATACTTAAGCCATGCTGGCTTGTTCAAATTGATGGCACATGCCAGGCAGAATTAGCCTAATTATCTTCCTGGCTGCAGCTTGCCTTCTCATCCAAACTTGAGTGGCATACCTGAGGAGGAAACAATGCTTAAAATAACCCTTAGCTTGTTGCTGGTTAGGTTAAATGCAGCTAAAATATGTTGCTGATTTAAAGGAGTCATCATGACTTACTTAAGTCATTGTTGTTTGTTTGTGTAAACCAGCCTGCTGTTTTAAAATTTTCAGTATAGAATAATTTTGTTGTAAATTGCTTTCTGCATGTAAAACAACTCTGATATGTTTAAACTCAACATAGAACTCAAGTTATCACACAGTTAAAGGAAGCAATAGAACCATCAGCAAACCTGGTACAGAGAAATTTCCAGCCACCACAGACAAACCATTCTAAACCTCTTTTCTTCTGAGAAATTCTGGCTCTTGGTAAAGTATGGTAATCACTTTCATCATTTTCAAAGCCTTCTTCTGACATCATTAAGGGCATTTCATCCAAATGAGAAGATTCATCTTCTACCTGGTACCTGTTGACATTAAAAATAAGAGCATTATAAGAGAACATAGAGGGTTCCATACAAAAGCACACTAGTAGAAATAAGTTCTAAGTAGTACACTACCTTCCCACTGCATCCATGGAATGCCTCAGAGCTCCCTTAAAATGCCATAAAATACCTGCCTCACACAATCACTACAGCTTAAAGAAGTCAAATGGCATGATTAAGCTACTTAATGTGCCAGACACCCTTCGATGATTATCCACCTGCATGCAGACTTGACATGGTATCTGAACCTGGGTGCTAGAGAAAACAATCTCCAAATAATACTGTTTGAAAAGAAAACAATCTCCAAATAATCCATGGCCTGTAGCTGGGTTAATTTGAGCCAGTCCACCTGGATTTGGATGACACAATCTATGCCCATGTGGGTTATAAGCAAATGGCCCTAAGCTAGTACAACAGCTTAAAGACATGGTGATTTGGCAAAACAGGCCAGATGGTCCACAGACCTTCCTAAATGACACAGCAGGCTATAGAGAAGGTAGGAATTCCAAAAGATAGGGCAAAGACCTCTTCCATAACCAGGAGTTCTACCAGCTAGCAGAACAAGTTACAGACAAGTCAAATAGCTAATATATGTATTAGTTATATAGTTTAATATTTTAACAGTTTTTAAAATCCTTGTTTTAAATTGTTGTACACTGCCTTCAATGTTTTTTACCTGATAAGGTGGCATATAAATGTTACTAATAAATAATGTATATCAAGCATTCTAAAGCAAGAACAATACAAGGACATGGAACATTTCCAACTGACAGATCCAGTACATCAAGAAAGGTAAATGAGATTCCTAGAAAGTTTGAATACCATGCCTTCCCAATATACCTCATTTAAGAATTTTGGTATAATTGAGTATAAAACAGCTAAATACAAGCAAAACCCTGCAGTTCCAAAATATCCAGCAACTAGTGCACATTCATATTTCTGGATTATTCTCTTAAGACCAAGACTGCAGAGATGATATCTGAAATACACCAACATAGCCAGTTTACAAACATTTAATCTTTGTTTAACTAACTTAATGGGTGTGGACAGCCTGCAGACAATCTGGAGGCCCGCAATTTCTACCAGTATGAATCAACACAGCCAATGGTGAGAAATCATAGGAAATGTAAGCCAAAACATCTGAAAGGCTATCTACACTCATAATGTAATAGTGCTTGCATTTATTTTTATAAATTATATTTTATATCTATCTATATATAGATAGATGACTTTACAAAAATACAAAGTACCACAGATAACAGATATAAGATACAAATGACATAGCAATAATTCTTGATCAGCAAACTGATTTCACCCTCATAATATATCCCACAATAAAGATCTTTATGACTTTAACACACCACTGAACTGTATCTTTCCTGCATATATTTAATGCATATGCCTGCTTTACAGACTGTCTATAGAAAGCAGAGACACAATTGGATACAGTATGTTTTGACACTCATTTTGTATTAACATAGCTTTAATGTACTACATTAGTAGGATACTTTTTATTTTTAGAAAAGCTTAAAATAATACACACTACTATGATCAACAATGTCTAATATGTACCATATTTTAACTGCTAAAATGCATATGGGGAATACCTTACACATATTTACAAATCCCAGAAGAATTTGTCTTTAACTTTGTTAGTAAGACACCAATATATTTTTTCAGGAAGTATAGATAATTATGTTGCACTATCAACCATGCTCAAAGTCCATTAACCTAGTAATGTATTCTATTTTAAAAAATTTATATATTTATATTTCTAGTTTTAAAGTTCCAGAGTGATGGACAATATATTATAAAACAGTATGTTATAAAAAGACAAAAATATTTAAAATAGTGGATAGGAAAAGCCAAGGTAAACAAGTATTGCCATATAAACTAATACAGCATCCATTATAAACTTAACTATATGGATTTGTATGATATACTCCACTGCACTGCTTCTTTGAAAATACAGATACAAACCTGTTAAAATTTAACTATAGAGCCAAAAGACTCACTCATCTATACAGGATGCTGTCCATGAAAATCTTCACAGCACTTCTATTTTGTTGCATTTGCTTCTGTATGCATGTCTGCCTTGAAGAGTTCTAACAAAAGAGGCTATGCTCATCCTTGCCAAAGACTACACATTCCTATTCATCAATAAAGTTCACTTATTTCTTGTAATCATGTCAAGAGTTACAGAACAAAAATTATTCACAGCCTCTACAAAAACATACTTATAGTTCTCAAAAATATTTTAAAGTCTAAAAGTACTGTTTTAACTATGCAAGAGTGCCAGCTACTAAGATAAATAAGCATCATGTTTAGTAACTTGACTTCAAAATGCAGCCTTTGAACTGGCAAGCAATTTATTCCTCTCCAAAAAGCAATTTTCCTATTGTGTTAAAAATTTTACCATAGTATTTAAAAACAATGCAATGATGAATAATGGATTTTTCATAGGGAAAAATCTCAATCTCTTTGTAATCTAGTGTCATGCACACTTAATTGTCTAGGGAGCTAGTTTTTCCATGAGTGACAAACCAATTAAGTGTAATGCTAGAAACTTTTTATAAAATAAAGCAGCACTGAAAGCAATGTGAATAAATAAGAATGCAAAACATGGCACTGGTAATACTAAATCAGATATGAAACAGGTATCATGGAAAAAAGGCTTCCTAAATTTTAACTAATATTAATGTCTAAAAATACCAAGAGAAAGAAAGGCTTTAAATACAATAAATACTTTAAAATTAACTTTTATATAGATATCTACTGTGAAAATTATATCGTGTTATATTCAAATTTTGACAAGTAAATGAGTGCATAATGTTTCAATTGCATTTTACTGTCTATTATTCAACTCATATCAAAATTTACTTTCATATCACCACTACAAAAACTACAGAAACATCAAACCAAAGGGTGTATCATTAAATTCCATAAGTAAAGGACCTATTATTATATTTATGCCTATTTTTGTTCCAAGGAGTTGGGAATGACTGTGAAACATGGAAGCCTTATTGCCTCATTTTATGAGCAACCTCAGCCTTACAAGTCTTGAATTTGCACATTACTCTTAATGCTTAATTCATGCGGCTCTCCCAAGTCGTCTCAAATTTTATAGTACTTTCTCTCTGTATTCTGAATTGTATAATACTTTAGGATCACAACTTCTTCCTTCCAGTGGTAGTATTCTTCAAAGCCTATCTTCTTTTTTATTTGAATCTATGGAAAAACAGCTATGGTCACTAGCACTGGAAATTTCTGGGAGAGTAAGAATGGAAGGATTCATTCTCAGGTGAAGAAACTATTTCTCTGCCAAAAGTTCTCATTGGGTTTTCATCTCCATCACCTAAACTGATCATAATTTCCTTTGCCTTCAGTTTTTGGCAGGTAGCTATATAAGGACAGTCACCTTAGACTAATTTTAAGTCAGCCAGAGCCTACACACTGTCAAGATAAGATTATTTCACTGATTAAATTACAGCATATTATGCTGAAATATTGGCAAACTGCACTAAATTTCTACTGAAAAAGATTGCTTCATGTGTCACCTTAGACTTTGCAAAGGTACACTATGTTATTATTTCCATAATAATTAACATATTACAATGAAAACCAAAATTATTTTAAAGCCAACATACACTCAAATTCTATATCTTATGTTGACCTGGCTCACAAATCATGGCAATAAATCATGGGTTAGTTAACACAAACTATGCAGGAAACATACTATCTATGAGATATTTTTTGTTTCTGTAAATAACCTTGGAGGATGCCCTGGTGAAGTGTGAAACTGACCTGATGGTTTATCCGTAATTTGTTAATAAATGTCAGCATGAACAACCTCAATGAATCATATGTCTAAACATAGATACTTATGGGCTACATTACGTTTGTAGTAACGTAACAAAGCACATGAAATCATCAATTTGGGGCCAATTTACACAAGATATTTTCATGAATGCAGTGTTAATCTATATATTGTTCCTTACCTTTTCCACATGTAAACATGTGATAGTAAAAGGAGTTTAAACAGCCAAATAGCAACTTTCTAGTAACTCATAATCTGATCCAATGACTACAACTAAAGGGACTGCAATAATGCCCATGTTCCACCAGTTCACACACTATATTTCTCCATAAACATGTACCTAGTGTAGTTCAGGACTTTTCTCATGGATGAAAACTGAAGTCACTCAGTTTGTCTTTTTTATTGTAATTGTCTGACTTTTCTATTTTATCAGTAAGCTCTGTATCTACCATATTATCATTATTATTACAAACAAATGTCATACTCATTGTTTGATCATTCTTAACTGGAATAACATGCTATAATCCTGTCTCATAGGACTGGACAAATGGATTGACTGAACTAGTAAACTGATGTATCTTGCTTTATTACTTCTTTTATGGATAGCACTGGGAGAAAAACAAGACACTATCTCTAACTTGATCTTAAAATAAAGATACCATGAGAATTGACTGATATATTAATACAAAGGCAATGACAAAGCTTAGCTATATGAAACTACGGAATGCTTACTATTTTTGTCTAGGGTTTAAGTACTTTGTTATCAGACACAGATACAAAAACATAAAGATGCTTTAGAGGTGCAGCAGATAACAAAAAAGCCAGGCAGTAAACATGAGCATGAGTCACACATATGAGTCCTGAACCTGAATAAAAAAAACTTATTTGAGAGTAGATTAGATAAACTATTCTAAGACATGTTTTTAAAGGACAATCTTTTCAAAAATGAGTTTTTCAATGTGGCATATTTCAGAGGTGAGCTTCTGAAAAGCTGTGCTTCATACAAACAGATATGCTGATCTGGAAAATAAGAACAATCCTATTTTCTGCACCTCTCCTCCCACCCCACTCCTACTGTTCAAAGGACCATGATACAGAAGCTGTTTGTTTAGAGAACCTTTTAGGCACGTGACACAAAGTGAAGTCAATAAACTATGAAAAATTA